CGGAAAACCGGAAACGTCTCTTTCTCAGCTTGGGAGACCCTGCTGTAGGATATACCTCCGCTGTACTTTGCAGTTCGACACCTACAGTCACTCATTTCCTCCTCCCCTTCCCTCCCCGCCACGACAAGGCGGTAGACCATCACAGGGGTTTTATTTTGATAACATACGAAAATTTATTTATCTTTACGGTAATTCCTTATTTTATAATTAAGCTTTCTTCCAGATATCAATTCCGCGTAAAAATGATGAGGGATAGCGGATTAGCAGTAATCAGTGACACTACCGAGTGGATGTACGTGAATAAACCTAGTGAGCAAATACTCACATCGGTACGGTCCAGCTTGTTTTATGGAATTTTTTTCAAACTTGCGTAAATACTGAAAAGAAGTGTTGAATGGGAAATATGCTTCAGCATTCTGTTGGTGGAAACAGCTCTGATGGTGTTCTTGATGGCGTTAGGGAAAACGATACATCCGCAGTAATTCAGCTGAACCACGTTCCCTCTTTTGGAGGTGTGGCAGTGGACGGGACGGGTAAGCTCTGTTTCCTTTAACATAATCTTTCGCTAGTAAACAACATGATATCTCTGACAATGAGATAGTGTTCTTTTTTATGTTATCTATCTTTAAGTAACTGGAATCCACTCGACTCGTTTTCTCAAAGCCGTTGCCCGAGACTTCGTCATCAGAACTATGGTTATTTTGTCTGCTGGGCTTTTGGTCCTTTGTTTGCTGCTTGCCGTCTGCTGTCTTATATGGTGTAACATTCGTAATGGCAGCGATAGGAATCGTTACATATCTAAGTGTATGTTGAATCACCTTTTTATTTTCCTTCGGGGTTGGTGGTCTTGCATTATTCAGATTTTGAAAATTGCTTTGTATAACGCGCTCATGGCGTGAGAGAAGCCCAAATATATGAATTGATTGTCCATGTTTGTTTCTCTTGCTCGAGAAAGTCATCAACATTGCGAGTGTAAGGACCTCCAAATCCTCTATACTTGGAAGTTAAATGTTCCGTTACTTGAAGCAAATCCTTAACTCTCTTCAAGGCTCTTGTTCACTCTATCATAAAAAGTGTATGCTATGAGATAATATGACGAACGATTGTCCTACAAAAGCTCAATGCTCAAATTTTCTCAGCTAGTTCTTCCGCTGCTAACATTTTGCAAATCTTGCTATCCTTTTAAAACCATTTTAAATCTGAATCAAAGACTGACCATCAGTGCTGCCATGCTGCGCTCTAACAGGTGCATAACAGGTCTGAGATGGTGGAGTGTACACAAAATATGTGATGATGCTTTAAAGACGCCTTTTGTGTTGAACAGGTGGTTTTTGATCAACTATTCATTATTTGCGGATGACATAACTTCGAAACCGGGTATATGGAGATTCATTCTCACTTTATAGTACAGTCGCCTGTAAATCCAT